GGCAAATTGTAATGAGTGAATGGGCCGTGAATCAGATTAGCTAGGTATAAGATAGTGAAAACCAGCCTTAACCCCTCCCTATTTTGGCCTTGTGCCGTAATTGTGTATTTTGCACAATAAATATCAATAGTACAGAAAAGTGTTTGAAATTTGCATTTTACTTGGCCTTCAACAAGTTGGCATCTATTTGTAAAACTTTCCTTAACTATAACAAGCCTGTCCCCACACCTGAGCAATTAATTTCTTCTATCTTTACAGTCATATTCTTTGAACAAATATATGGAACAACCTCTTCAACATTTCATAAATAGTGAATATTAATCCCATAGAACAATTACCAGGTTATTTTTCTAAAGTAAACATTTATCAGTTTATATCTAGCATCCATAATTAGCAGCTGTTTTTTTTTTATACAGAAGTTACAGTGTGGAAATTCGATAAACTACATTCTACCAAAATGGACTTTTCTGAGTAAGTAGAACAAGTAAAAAAAAAAAAAAAATAAGTAAATGATATTTCATACACCCCATCCGAAAGAAAATATAAAAATGCTTCCTTTTTAATTTATTTATTTTTAAAAAGTCTAAACACAAATAAACTAATGACTAATTTGCATACACGGCTTAAAACATCGAGTAATTTGCAGTTTAATCCCTGCGCTCAGTTTTTATTAAAAATTTCCTGAATAGGTGTAAAAAAATTTACATGCATTATTCGAAAATAAATTTTGTTAAAAACTACCGTTTAGGAGTTATCAACAATAAAAGTTTGGATTTTTTCTTGCTATTATGATTTCCTTTCTATCATTTTTTTTTAATACTTTTGTAAATAATCATTCTCTCTTCAAATTTCGCGCAAAATTTGCGCATGACTCCTCGAGGTAACAACGCCAGTAATGGCTGCCGTGCAGTAGCAGCGATGCGAATAAGTTCGAAATTTTATTGCCGATAACTCCAAAACGATAGATTTTAGCAAAATTTCTTTGTTATTGTCGAATTAAGCATGTAAATTTACACCTAAATGTAACTATTCAGGAAAATTTTATTAGAAACTGAGCGCGGGGTTTAAACTGCAAATTACCCAAGGTATCATCTTTTGAGTGTCCTCGTAATTTTAATTAGAAATCAATTCACAATTACCAGTTAAATCATAAATGTATGTATTTTTTTTTCTTCTCGATATTTATTTCCACCGGACTTACTTCAAACGAAAACTTTTGTTTTTTGGCGTGTGTTTTCAATTATTTGTGAAAATACTTTGAAAGAGCTGTAATTCAAGTAACAAGTTTGGTTTATGTCCGCCAAAGTTTTCGCAAAGCTCTGTCTTAAAAAGAGAACATGCATTTATTTACTTTTTCTTTTTGACAAATACCCGTAGGTTTTTCGGTAGCAAATGTAACTAAAGTAAAATATTAAAGGTTTCAAATCAATATTTTACGATATTAAATTAATGTTTACTTTTTTTAACATGATACTACTAATTTTGAACACAATTTTTCCACCTTTTTAAACAAAAATAAACAATTTTTTTTTACCTTATATATAAATTTCGTATATTTTCTATATGAAACAAATTATCTGTAAAAAAAAATTATTTTATCTGTGGGATCATATTGAAAGACGCTTTTTGACCACTAATATGAAAGTGGAATTCAATGAAGTTGGTACAGCAAAGGAATTTAGCGACCTTTTAAAAATTGAAAATGGAGAAATTTCACATTCGGTTTCGGTACTCTGGTAGAGAGCATTGAGGAATTAATTTTTAAAGTATATCCCAATATAGCAGATAACTTCCAGAATACAGACTGATTGTGTGAAAGAGCAATTTTGGAAATGAAACGGTACGGATCAATCAGAAGGTTCTACAAGATATCCCAACAGAAGGACATACCTATCAGATGATACAACTGTGGATCCAGACGAAGCAGTTAAATTCCTTACTGAATTTTTAAAATTCTTTGGATCTTCCAGGAATGCCATCACACAAGTTAGTATTAAAACAAGGAGTGCCATTAATGCTGCTAAGAAATCTTGTATCTCCATAGTTATGTAATGGTATACGTCTTATTGTGAAGAAAACGTTACCTCACTTATTGGAAGCTCTTAACTGGTCAAGAGAAAGAAGAGACTGTACTGATTCCAAGAATTTCATTGATTTCAACAGATACGCCTTTTCATTTTAAACGATTGCAATTCCCAGTTAGAGTAAGTTTTGTAATGACTATTAATAAATCACAAAGTCAATCAATGAAAGTTACTGGACTTCACCTTATGCAACCCTGCTTTTCTCATGGTCAATTATATGTTGACTGTTCAAGAGTTGGAAATAGAATGAATCTATTTATACTTGCTCTAAATAAAAAAAAACAAATGTAGTTTATCCTGCTGCATTACAGTAAAAATTATGTAAGAAAAAACTTCATTTTGATTTCAATTTTTTCACAATTATGTTTTTCATTTATGCAAATTCATACATGTATTTTATTTCCGTCATCAACTGTTTTATTCAGTTTCGCCATGTTTCAATGGTTAAAATTCTAATGTTTACCTATCTGAATAAATACAAATGTTTGCTTTCATGTTTACAACCAATTTATAAATGAAGTGTTCATTTAAAATTTTTGTTTCAAAAGATTTCAAGTAGTGAATATATCTTACTTTGCGAAGCGATAGCGAGTAGACGAAGCCTGCTAGCCAAAAAAAAAAAATACTTTGGTCTTTCCTCTTAATAATAAAAAACATTTTTTTTTACAATAAAACTTCGTTTTTATTAAGTTTTGGGCCTTTTTCATCATGCTATGCTATTTTGTTTTTTTGTTGTTTTTTTTTTTTTTTTTTGCGAAAAGCGGGAGTGCCTAATGGAAAGTGACATGAGCCTGACAATGGTCGCGGGGTCTGTGCAGTTTTTTGTCCTTGGTCCGTATGGACGTGTGTTATGGGCAACCCACATTTAAACCGACCTTGTGTCACATCCTACCACAGTGAGAAGATGAGTCAAACTATTTTTTTTTTTTAATGTCGGCATTTAGGGCATATTTCAGTTATAAGACTACACACGATGATTTAACTACTAAAAAAAAAAAACAAAAAAAAAAAAAACGGAAGAAACATAACTACTTTACTAACTAAACCCCGGGAAAGAAACATAATACCAAGAAATATTACTGAGGCATGTCGTTATTAAGCCAAATCTGCTCAAATAAAAAACCGTGTTTCTATGTCGCTGTCTCCACATAAAAAGTATCTTTCAATAAGGAAAATGCGCTGTACTAAAAACTTGTCTTTTGTTGCGCATATTTGTCTTCAAATATTTTCGCCAGCTGTAGAATATTGACCATATGGCATAGGAAGATTGCTCTTAGTAGAGAATAATTAAAATTTTAAGAGTAATATTAAACTAAAAGCAAATATATAATTGCTTAAAATTACACAACTCCTCACTTGCATTAGAAAAGTGCCAAAGATTTCTTAGTGACTGCAAAAATGTTTCAAGAAATCGAAATAATGAGAGATCTAAAAATTTAAATAAAAATGAAATATGAACATAAAACTAAGAATAAGGATTTTTAAAACATAACAAATTCACGATGTATTATAAGACTCAAGTCTTACTCTTGCCTTATTTTCGACTTAAGGCAGAAAAGTAAGTATTTTTATGTCCTAATTTCGGAATTTTCTACCGTAGTGTAAATTTATGTCTCAACATATCACTCCCACAAAAAAAATTACTACTAAGTACTAATTAATAATGTGGTACAATTAACAAGAATAAAAAACTGAATGTGATAGGCCGATTTAACAACGCCTTGTAAAGCAAGGGTCAAGGATTCCCAACGTGGTAGGGCATGCGTATGCGCACCCTTCGGCTTACTATACAAACAGATTACAAAATAAGGGGACAATTCGACAGTGAATTGTTTTCGAGTGAGAGTGTTACATATGATGCATTATGCATAAAACTATTTTGATTTTTGAGTGTATGTACGTACATGTGTAATTAGCATACATTAATAAATATTTAAGGGGGGGGGCACCAGAATTTTAGAAATACCAAAGTGGGACATGGCCCAAAATCGGTTGGGAATCACTGCTGTAGAGGGCACACTGTACACTACAGGAACACAGTTTCTCTAGTAGTGTAAAATAATTTTTTTTTTTTAGACGTCAAAATTTAAATTGTGCGGAGAGTCTGTATGTCAGACACTTTTGCAAACGGCAATTGCTCTATTCCTCACTTAAAGATCGATAACCGTTGTCTGAAGAAGTTCTTTCTCTGAACGAAACGCGTCACGATGATTTTTTATTTATTTTGTCATGTAAATAAAGAGTAATGCTTTTCGTCTGGATCGTGGATAATCCGTTTTTTAAATACTGTCTGTATTTGTTTTTGTTAGTAACCATGGACTACTTGAAAAACCTGAAAAAAAAAAAATTTAAAAAAATGGCAAGACAAGAAAAATACGAATGCAAAATAATTTAAAAATGTTTTTTATTGTTTACTGTACTACTCGTGTATATAAGCAACACCACCTAAAGGTGGTATTGGTAAAGCCGACTTCATAGTACAACTGAATTTTTTTGCATGAATTTCAACTCCTCCAGAAAAAAAATTACCTGTGTAGTGCAACTAGTCAAAAAAATGCATGATTTTTTTTTTTTAATCTCTTTAAAAAAATTACCTGTGCAGTTATTTTTTTTATTTTTATTTTTTTTTTTTGCGCAAAATAAATAAATAAAAAATACTGATCATACAAACTCGCACTATATTCAAAACAGTATGTAGGTAGGTATTACCACACAAGACAGTAAAATTAATTATTCTTTTTAAAATTGCGAATAATAATTTCGTTGTAACCTAGTTTTAGTTGTCACGCAGCAATACAATGATATGAAAACTCTCAGAATTGATGAAAACTGCCTACATATAATAAAAAAAAATAAAACTTTCAATTTTACTAAATTCAATAGAGTTTTGTTTTCTAGACAATATCATTCACTTACCTGTTAAGGTTCGGTTACGAAATTTTCCTTCTTCTATACCACTACAAAATAGAAGAGCCAAAAAAAATCTATCTACAAAAAGTTAATTTACTCTTTTTAGACTGTTGTATTGTTTTCATTGTGGAGAACATTTCTCGTTAGTTTCATTCATTCATTGAGTGGCGAACCATTACACGTTGCTGATGTAATTATGAAACAATAATTTGCAAGGGAAATGTTAACCCAGGAAAACATAAATCGAAATGAAAGATATCAAATTCAAAAGTAACATTTCTTATGAAAAAAAAAAATGTAGCTACGGGAAATCAATTCTTATACACCGGCGGTGACAGTCATGGTATTACACCTGAATTTTTGTCCTAAAAAACTAAATTCTGTCTAAATAGTCCGCATGTAAATAATGTACATAAAAAAATAGTTATTTTTTTTATTTCAGAAAATTCTTGATCCTATATTTTTTATCCTTTTATGAAATTATATATGTGTGTGTGTGTGTTATAATAACAATGTCAAAGATAGTATGAAGCCAAAACTGTAGAGAGAAAAGACATCCTCTGAAGAGTGGACGGATAGGTCTGCCTTCAAAACTCTGGAGTCAGGATGCTGAAGGTAACATTAATCAGCTAAGTGACAAATTTTTACTTAGATTAATTCTATATTATGGTGGACTCTCCCGTCATATTCAACGTATAAGGGTCAGCAACTGACAGCCAGATACCAGTACATATGATTTCATTATAGTGGTGAAGGCTTTGTGCAGAACCAACCACACTTTTTCGTGAGATTTTATTGTTAGGAATCTAACCACCATCCTAGAATACTAAATAATTTACATAAATCAGTCTAATTTAGGTGGTCCACCAACTCTAGAATAAGGATATTTTTGACAAACATAAATATGTAGAAGCACTAGAACATAGTAACCATAAAATTGACCTCAAATTCTTAGCCAATAGCAATAATGACGTCAACAAACCAAAACTCCATGAATGCAATATAATATGGTTTAACCCACTCTTCAACTAAAATGTCAAAACTAATATTGGAAAAATTTTTTTGAATTTAATCCATAAGCACTTAAGTCATTCCCTAACGGTAAATAGGACTTTCAACAAAAACAATGTCAAAGTTAGCTATAGTTGTGCCAAAAACATTGACCAGCATATATCACAGCACAACTGTTCCATTCTAAATAAACTCTTAAACAAACTACAAAACAGTAACATTCCCACAACTAAGGAATGCAATTGCTGAAAAAACAAACCATACCATTAAACAGCAGATGTATGACCAAATCAAAGCTGAAATCAAGTATGACAAGTTTTATGTGGGCTCTACAGAAAATCATTGGAAATCACACTTCTACCACCACCAAATGACATTAAGCAATCTCAAATATACTAAAAGCACTGCCCTCTCTAATTTTTTCTGGAAACTGAAAAGCAAGAATAAAAACCCAACTATCACCTGGAAATGATATATATATATATATATATATATATATAAAGAGAGAGAGAGAGAGAAAAAAGAGAGACAGAGAGAGAGAGAGAGATAATGTATGCATGTATATAATTGTGTATTTGGGCAAGAATCCATCTTTTATACAAGTTTCATTAAATATGACTGCCAAGTTATGGTCATTAAGCTTTTATTTAGTTTTTATTGTGTAAATATATGTGATTTTCAGGACATAAAGTGTGTAAGAACTCTACAAATGTTCTATATATCAAAGTAATTTCAGCTATTCTATTAGCCAGTATCAAGGAAGTATTTTTATTTTTTAACTGAATGTATAGATTTTTATATATGTTTCTAGAGTAATGTGAGTATTTTTTTATTTTCCAAATATTGGCAAGACATTATGGCCAAGTTTATTGTTGATGATATTGAGTATTGTCTTTTGCTTTTTTATTATTAGTGCTTCTATTTATTTTTAGTCTTTTTTATCCATAGATGAAGCTATTATACTTGTATTCATACAGTTTTTACACACTTTATGTCCAGAAAAGAAATCACTTATATGTAAGCTTAAATGCAGTTCATATATATATATGGATCAGAATGACCGAATGATAGGATAAGGAACAATATATATATGATAAAAAATATAAGGTATTCTTATATTTATGGGTAACAGTGCTCAGTATCAAAGATAGAGTGTGTGTAATTATAAGAGCAGACACTAAGGTCAACTCGGAGTGGTGACAGTCTGTTTCATGCTTGGACACAACCATTAGGTTCGAAGATTGCATAAATAAACTGTTGCCACCCAGTATTGACATCAGTGTTCACTCATATTTATAACAACATCAATAATGTTGATTATGATAATTATGATTATGATGACTTTCGGTCCCATAAAGGGAATGCTGGGTGCAGAAGTGATCTAACAGCAGTTTGAATAAAGTTGTTAATTTTACCATGTCTCATGTCGTCTTTGTGTTGTTTCAACTTTTCAGCGGCTCATATCATGTAATTTATCTTTCCACCCTAAGCTCAGTGGAACAATATATGTGTATAGAATACAATAAACTTTTGTTTTTAATTTTTAATAAACATTTCTTTTGCTTGTAATTATGTTTTGGAAGGAGACCTACAGACTTTTTCTATATATAAGACTTATATCAATGTTTTAGAAGCTAATGTTTTGGTGGGTGAGTGGGGAGTGGAAAATGAAGTTTTCTAATTTATTTTGAAAAGTAATGACTTTAGATAAATGATACAGATCAATAACATTGCTATCAATTGAGGCCAAGAGCATAAATTTAGTCTACTGTTTTTAATTTGTCAGTTTTTGCAAAAAGTGCTGGAGCCACCCAACCTTAGTGCTGTTGATGTAGTCTTTGTGTACAGTTACTTTCCAAATTCTGCAAATATATATGTAGTCAAATTGTGACCAAATTGGTCAAAGTATAATTTTTTGTATTACAGATTCTAAAAATGTAATGAAAACCATTCCAACTCATGAAATCTACTGGACCACTTATATATATATGTATATATATCTGAAATGAATTTTCTATCATGGAATTTAAAATTACAGTGCAACATTGTTATAAGAAGCATATGGTTGCAAAGGAAGACCAAACAAGGATTAAAGTTTCAACAGCATATATTGATCAATTTTCAGAAAATACACATAGTTGTTTGAAAGGGTGACCAAATTGTTGATATGTAGTTCATTTGATTGCCATTGGTAAGGGAAGTGATTAGGTGTAAGGGTGTTGTTGGTAAGGCTGAGTGCTATTGTGGGACAGTGGCTAAGGTTATGATGGTGACGACTTGAGAGACCTGGAGTATGTTCATAAAGCCACTAATCAGTGGTAGTATGAGTGGAGTGTTGTTGTCAGGGTTGATTTAAGGCCTGTTAAGGTGTGTTGGTGTGTAGGCCTGGAGTGAATAGTGACGCTTGATTGAGCATAATGTCTCTGTTTGATTCTGGTAGAATGAGAGATCAAATGAAAACAGGGTCACAGTGGTGGCAATAAGAGAGAGCCACCAATGTCAACAGCTGGCCTGTCAACCTGGTACTGTGTGTGAAGAGTAGGGTGAAGTCATGAATCTGGTTGCCGTTACATTGGATTGACCAAGGTTATGGTGGTGACAATGAGAGTAAGCTCACCTCATTTATGAGGGCTTTCTTTTAAGCAAAACTGGTAGCTCTCAGGTTAATCATTTTTTATTGGCAGCAATGTTCATGATTGGCTATTGTATTTTAAATTTTTGTGAGAATTTGTTTTGCAGATTTGATGTGATGCTTGGAACCCTTAAATGGAAGATCACTTTTTTTTATTTTGGGTTTTGCTTTCTTAGTGCTCACATCTGGAGGACATGTAGAGTGAGTCAGAAAGAGATCTAATTGCAGTGGAGTATAACAACATTCTCTTTCCGATCTTTAAGTAACTATTTTTGTGTGGCATATTTAAAATAACCAATTCAAAAAATTACAAAATTATCTCCAAAATGTCACAAGTTTCAAGTTTCTCATACTAGTTTTGTTGTTGTTTATAGTTGCAGAACTGACATAAAGAAAATTAAAATTGTCCAATTGTTAGATTAAGTTTGAACTGTTGTACTGAAATGATTAAAAATATCTTACTGGAATTCTCCAAGGTTTTTATAACATTACTGGACTCTACTTTGAGCAATAACAATGTATAATTACTCTCCAAACTTAACAGGAGAATTGTGGTGAAATCGATCATAAACGAAAATGACATGTTCATCAGAGCTAAATTTTTTTTCAGTGCTCTTTGGAATGTCATAGCTGAAACTCCTCTCTCATATTCCAAATGTCACATGGATTGAGTTGGATCTTTTCTAATTGATCTCTTTAGCTCAAAGTTGAAATGATGATCCCCCTTTCTGTTGTGATTTTCTTCACTGTTCCCTCTTTTTTAAGCTTAATCACTGTACTCTTTGGAATTTGAAGATGGAAGCCAAAGTATAAATGTTGGTGCCATTTCTGAAGACCTGAATGATCATTTTCCTCTTAACATTGGTCAGTTGAGAAGACAGAGGGACTTCCACAAAACAATTTTAACCTGTTCTCTTTCTAGCTGAATAACTTAAAGGGTTTTTCAGTGTTTCTTATGACAAATGGCGTCAAGATAGCTATGTGAAAACCTGGAAAAAAGAAACACAATTAGTTTAGTGTTTTTTTAAAATATTAAACATTTGTGGCATGGATAATTATGCTGTTACATGATTTGGACAATTTTGTTGTTACACCCCGTATATATATATATATATATATATATATATATATATATATATAATATATATGAAAAAAATTTGGAAAAAACAAACAAAAATCCTTAAATGCAATTATGTTGTTTAAAATGAATGAAATGTCGACGTCTGATGTTTCGGTTTAATAAACCTTTTTCAAGACAATATTCATTAAAATACAATTCAGTTCAATTTGACAAAGACGATGGACATAAACAACAAGTCTTATCCAAAACAGATAACTGAAAATTTTTAAAATGATCAGCTTTCCATTTAGCATGGTCACGTTGTCGTCACATGGGCGATGCTTTCAAAACAAAACGTCAGACGTCGACATTTCATTCATTTTAAACAACATAATTGCATTTAAGGATTTTTGTTTGTTTTTTTCCAAATTTTTCTTCATTCTGTCAGATCTATATCCATTTACATTTGCTTACATATATATACATATATATATATATACACACACACACTGCAGTTCTTTTGACCTTAGCATATTTTTTTTTTAATTTAGTCTCTTCCTGCACCCCTTTGCATACACAATAAGTTATGTTGTTTGACTGCAATATACACAGCTTACCAAAAAAATGAACACATGTCATTTTGATTTTTACATGGGTACAAAAAATTATTTGCACTGGCAACCATGTAAAAAAAAAAGTGTAAATTTAAGGGTTCACTTACTTCTTTTGCACATCTTAATTTTTAATTAATATTTTTATTCCAGTTTGATAAAAAATTTTGAAAGTGGTTGTAATTAATTTACTAAAGGTTTTTCTAATGAATATATAGTATAATTAAGCTTTGTTGATTATCTGGCAAAAAGAAACTTTTTTTTTTAATATTATCTTAGGGGTTCACTTACTTTCGCTTTTAGCATATATATATATATATATATATATATATATATATATATATATATATATATATATATATAATAGTGAAATTTAAGTTTATATAATCAATTTTCCTTCTGTCATTTACACAACTATAAACAACAACAGCAAAACTAGTATGAGAAACTTGAAACTTTTGACAATTGAGAGATAATTTTCTTTTTTTCAAATTGGTTATTTTATTTCAAATATGGCACACAAAAATAGTTACTTAAAGATAGAAAAGAAAATGTTGTAATGCAATTTTAAATTCACTGATAGAAAAGGAAAACTAATTTTTAACTTATTAATTTATCATTATGAATTTGCAAAAAATATATATTTAATTTTTTTAAATTACTTATATTAATTCCTATGTTGATTGTTATTTCCTGTAACAAAATTGAATAAAACTACTTTATATTCTAAAGTTCTCAATAAACATATATTGTTTATAACTTTGAAAAAATTCCTTAAAATATCCAACTGAGATCTGGATGTCCAAATAATACAAAAATTAATCATGTGACCAATTCTGAATTAGTTTTAAATAGTAATTACCATGGAAAAATTCATTTTGACTCAGTAAAGAAAAAATTTACTAACTAAAGATAAGGAATAATCATGTAAAAAGACTATTTTCAATATTAGTAGGCAAAATACATGTTTTTACAATGATATTCACCCTGTACAAGGCCCAAGAACCACTCGCAGCAAAGGGGTACAGATTAGGAGGCACAATTTATTGAGATATGTGGGGAAGATAAGGGTTAACCCTAGACTTGAACAGGTTAAGATTTGGAAATCAGTTTCACAAACCAGATGTAACCATATGTTCTATGCTAATAGTTTCTTCAACTGCATTTCTTGCTTGTGTAATTTTCTTCCAGATTCTTACTACCTAATCAACGTTGATCTTCAAAAATTTAGATACAGTATCACTCATTATCTTCTTAATCCTTTTATCCCTTTTATTATTTTCTCTCCTTCATAATGTTTATTTTCAATATTCTCTAACACTCACTAACCCCTTGCATCCTAGTGGATTTGTTGCCTTGTTTCAGGTGAAATGATTAAAATAACTAAGTACTAGAGACTTATCCTTTTACTTCACACAGCTTCCTTTTGGTTTCCATTTCTTTGGGTTTTACCATCAATGTGTTAACTGCTATTATTGAATTTGTCTATCAAGCTTTAGATAATAACAGCAAAGCTTGGGCTGTGGCTTGAGGTATCTCAATGGCATTCAACAGGGTTTGGCATACTGGCCTACTCCACAAGCTCAAGGGCTACAGTGTCTCTAGACAAATATTTGGCACCGAGGCATTTGTGCAGATGACACAACTATTTCCTCCAGTTTTTGTTGGATCTGTCAGATTTGCTACTAAGTAGAACTGGCATCTCTTTTAGAAAAGGACCTCTAATTATGAGTTAACTGAGGCAAGGATTTCTGTACCTTTTTACCAACCTATTAAAACCCTTTTTATTGTTACGTGTTATTTGGCGTTTGTCTCTACTAACCCCAAATCAACATCATAACAGAACATATTTCAGCCCTTTTTAGGGCTACCACTATTTGATTGTTACACTCTCGGGGAACATATTCCAGCCTTTTTTAGGGCTACCACTATTTGATTGTTAAAATCTCAGAGAATGCTGTTAAGCTCTTTTTAGAGGTACCACTATTTAATTTTTGCACTGTCAAGGTACAGCCCTTTGCAGGTTTTCTCCTTAAACTGCCACTTCTTACAAGAATGACTATGATTTAAGACCACAAGCAATGCTGGGTATATCTACTTATGAATTTAAAATATTTTTTGGCAGATATTTTTAAGTTAATCTGATTTTAAAAATATTTTAAGTGTATAAGATTTAAAAATACATGTTGTTTATACAGTAATTATTTTTATTTCAACATTCTTCAAATGTTTTATAACCTGAACCGTCAGCCATCCAATGGGTCATGAGTAGTCTAGTACTATGTATATTTAGTGAATAGTCTAGTACTATGTATATTTAGTGAATAGTCTAGTACTATGTATATTATATGACCATTTTTTTAATCATTTTTGACTCTTTTAAATTCATGCGTGCATGTTTGTAAATAAAAATGATTTATTTAACAGGCATGAGACCATGTTTTCTTTATTTTTATTTTATTATTGTTTGCAATTCAGGCATTGGGATTTTTAGTCTAAAAAACCTACATGAGTGAATTTCCTACATGCTTTACCATTACAAACCATAATGACAGTAAAGCAAAAGCTCAATTAGACTATTTAAGAAATGTAAATCTCTGCTTCTCTGATTGACCTTCAACTACATACAGGCTACGACTGAGAGGCCAGCCAACCATAGACATAAAAGAATATGAATAAATAGAAATGGAGGCAATACATACATGACTTATTCCCTAATTTTATTATTTTTTTTTTTTTTGTAAAATTAGGTCATTTTACTTCTGCCTTAATGATTACCTCATTATTTCAACACAAAACTGCACTTATTAATAAAAGACTTAGAAATGTGTTTACTGTTTACAATCACTGTTGCCTTTTAGTATGGGTCAATAATATGCCATGAACTAAACTAAACTTGCTGCTTAATTGATCTACTGATATTAGATTTGCAGCAACAGCTGTAACGACTGTTTATTTATTTTATACTACAAATATTTTTAAATCAGTTTCTCAAATGATACAAGAACAAAATTATATACATATTTTTAAAAGCCATTTCATTTTACTCATATAATGTTGATAGAATTTAAATTCTTTATATTTGTAAAGAAAGAAATGAATTGTCATAATATGCAACAATAATAAAATATAATTCAATATTTTTTGTTAACTTCTAAAGCCAGATAATAAGTACAAGCCAAAAGTGCTTAAGAACTTAAAGTACAAAGTAGGAAAAACTGATAAAAAAATAAGATCCTACTAGACAAACTAGACCAACTAGACTAGACAAACTAGACCAACTAGAGACAGATGAACATATTGAACACTGTTCAAATACCACAAGTATTATGTAGTGCTTTGTTTTATTGCTACTTAATAATTGATATTATTTTTGTGAACATCTAGTGAAAGTGATGATGAAAATATTCTAACCATAAAAATGTAATTTTCCATAACAATTCTATAAGGGTTACATAGAATTTAAAAGAGAAAAATTATTTTGTCAAAAATAATTGACAATATTATAATCTGACAAAATAGTTTAAAATAAAGTATGTATACTTAATTTCTACTTATTTATTTATTCAGAAAATATTAGCAATAAAATGAAACCATAAAATAAAATAATAAAATAAACAATGTCATTTTTAAAATCTCAGCTTCAACATAATACAGTGAAATATAGCCAATTATTTTTAAACAATCCCGTCTCAATTTACTTTTTATTCAATAGTCAATATGAGTGACTCACAATAAACAAATTTTAAGTTTGGTAATTTATATTCAAAATGAGAAAAATTCACAGCTTTTAGTGGATTTATTAATATAAAATTTTTATCTGTTTTACTGAAATCAAATCTTCTTCTTGATCATTAAGGGATGCTAAGCTATCAAATTCCTGTTTGGTGAGATCTTCTTGTGTAATCTTTATAGTATTCGTTCTGAAAGTGTATCTGTGTACATGACCGGCGCGTCTTATCCCCAAGACCTCCAACCTCGGGTTTGGGGGCGCTATTGCGGCCTCTGCCATTTTTTTCAGTACTGTTTTATGGCCATCAGCCGTTTTTATTTTAATTATTTTTAAACGGACGTTACATTGTCACTCACCAACAAAACAGGGTGTTCCAAAAGTCACGTGACAATTGGCAGGAAACGGAAACATACACTTCTTGTGAAATAGCAACCAGGGAAAATTTGCGGACGATTTATGTGAAAATTCTAGCAATTTTTATGGACCAAGCAGTTGATACTGCCAAAATTGTTTTGATCTGTTACGGATTCATTTTTTAATACTTGGAGATGGGTTTCATATATATTGACCAATGAGAGCCAATTTCTTGAAGTCCTTGTGAAAACTTGAAGTGAGCCGATATGACGATCGCTTTTTCAATTAAAAAAAAAAAGTGCTGCTATAAGCGGATAAGGACAGAGAAGAAAAGAATGTACTGTTGACGAGAAAGCAGTTAACAGAGGAGTCAATTAGCACCCACGCTTCAAAGGATTGGTGCAGCAAAGGAGTCGATTCTGAAATAAAAAAAAAAATAAATGACGTTACACAGAATAATGAAAACCTAGCAGTCGTGTTGCCTTATTGTGCAAACCAGCTGAGAAAAGATTCATCAAAATCAATTAAAAGAAAACCGAGTAATCTTCACTACCAAGCCATTAGCGTGGTTCGGGGTGTACAATATGTGATTGAAAAAAATGCATGACTGTTAAAATTAACCCTCTCAGAATTTTTTGCAATAACCGAACTTTGTACACATTTTGTCGGAATTTTTAAGAAAATAAAATTTTAAATTTACTCTTATATTAAAAATAACAGACCTTACACATTTTATTACCTGGGAAGTATTAATAAGATGATTGTGTCTACCTGGCAGTGACAGCGTAACACTTTTAGATACTACCTTATGTCGTCATCAGTCGATTTTAAGATAGATATGAAGAAATAAAGATTCTACAATCGTTAAATATACTAAGACTAAAAGAAAAGTTTTTTTCAGGCCTTCTTCATAGTAAAATCAACCCAAAGTTCATCAAAATTTGTTTGTCTAAGTTTATTACTTTCACTGCACAGAATGCCCAGTGTAGACAACCTCTCCTTAGACATTGTGGTCCTTAATTCATTTTTAATTCTTTTAAATCTTGAAAAAGACCTTTCTCATGAACAGTTAGTGACCATTAAGCTAAGAAATAGCCGCAATATTGCTTCCCCATTAGGGAAGGCCATCTGAATTTTTTCCTTGTATATAATTTGATAAAAGTCTGTATGATATAGAGAGTTTTTTTTCTGTAAGTCTATGTCTTTGACTTACATAGATGTGAAAATGCAAAAGTTCGTCAGTAAGATTCAGGTCAACATCTTTTGGGCATTCTTCCATTAGCATTTCAATTTGCTGAATTTCTTGTTTAAATAATGTCAGATTGGCAAGAAAGGAAAACATTTTTGTAACATCATTGTACACAGTAACTGTTTTTCTTAAATTGGTTTCAAGTGCATCTAGAATAGGAATAAAGGATTTTATCCTAAACTTATCTCTTGAAGAGAGTTCATCTAATGCATCAGGACCAGGTACATTTCCATCATTTCCTTGCAGATTCCTTACTATTTTCTCCTTGTGACAATTCTGTAGTTTGTATTTGCCAAAGTGGCTTTTGCTTGTTACTCAAACTCATCAAAATCTTCTCGAATTTTGCTTAAAAGTCCTGAAGTTAACTATACGAACTTGCACAAGTACTCAATAACAGATCTGATTTCTGAAAGGCTTTGTTGACCTTGTGAAAATGGCTTAGCAGACATGTTCAAAAATTGAGCATAAATTCTAGAGTGTTACCTTGAAGCCTGGTGCCACCCTTGAAATTATTACAAGTGACTGAGGGCATCAGTGATAGCAATGTAACTTTCCAAATTAGCTTGTGTATGTATGCCTCCCACCTATTGTATGATAAATATTTAGACATTTTTGACAGTGGTTCCAAAAATGATTTTAAAACTTCGCATCTCTTTGTGGAGGATGGAAATAAGGTATAAATTTCATTGATAATGCCAAAAACAGTTCACTGCACTGGCACTTATTGCTTCTGTCAATGGCTGATGCAAGAAAGCAATGATTGGTGTTAACTTCCTTACCATATACTCTTCAAGTCTCTTTCTCTTGCGCTTACTAGCGCTACTTTCAAATATTTTACTCATGCTCAGATTAGAATCTACAAGTAAAGAGTAAAATTATACTTCAACAGTTATTTGAAAGGAAAACATGAAAGGTGTTGTAGAGCCTACAAATGTTTTAATGCCAAATGTCGCAAAAATCGTCGTTGACTTTTGCAACAATGTCGATTTTTAAACTTTGGGCGTTGAGACATTTGTTGGCCCCATTTTGTGGGCCCCATTTTGTGGCCCCCATTTTGTGGGCCCCATTTTGTGGGCCCCATTTTCTGAGAACGCCTGTAGAAGGCGTTCTCAGAAAATGGGGCCCACTTTAATGAAGAAAAAATAAAAAAATGAACTTTTTCCTGTATAATACTTGAGCATTTTCTTAAAAGAATTGTACTTTATTGACAATTGCAAAATCTGAATCAAATCTGCTCCCAAAAACTGTTTACAAAACGAGTGTGCCTTTTCCTTTAATGAACAAATAAGTGCAGTTGTATTACTAACTTGACTGACAATGTCCTTTTCAGATACTTGCACAGCTGTGTCTTCTACTTTTCTACCTCGTTGCTTTCATGAAAAGACAAACTCTATAAAGAAATCAATGTTAGCATAGAGTTATCGACTGAAGACAGTTTTATTCTGAAATGGAATGTAAAAAAATTACTGAAGGTTTGTTCAGAGTCTACAATACATTATAACAGCATGTGTAAGAAAGGCCTATGATAATGTCAAAAATATTATACACTGTGGCTGGAAGCCACCTAGATTGCGTGGTCCTAGGCTTCGGCCTGCTAAGCCTATAGGTAAATCAAGCAATATAGTTTTTGTTTCTCCAGATCAACTGCCGATGTACTGAAAATAATTCCATAAAAAATCTGTCATGCTCTAGATAAAAACATTGAATCCGGGCTGTAGCATTGGACATCTCGAAAGCTTTTGATAGGGATTGGTATATAGGTCTTCTCTTCTCCACAAGCTGATAAGTTACAGTGTCTTCGGACACACTTTTGAACTGATCCAGTTTTTCTTAGCAAATCGTAACTAACGCAGGTGTCCCTCTTTGGTCTTACCCTGTTTTTTAATTTTCATTAATGACCTTCCCGATAACATCAGCTCTCAACTATCCTGATAATACAACCATTTACTCGTACCTCCATAGTAAGGCACAACAATGCCTCCATAGTAAGGCACAACAATTCCTCCATAGTAAGGCACGTAGTAAGTCCAACAATGTTAAAATGGCAGCCGATGTCCATAAGTCTATCGTTAACTGGGGCAAAAGATGGCTTGTTAATTTGTTAATCCAAGACTAAACATCCGAGATTCCATCAGCATAGTTGATGGCAACCGACATGAGAGTGACGCGTTGTGCCTTCTTGGGCTCACGTTATCTGCTGATATGAAATGGAAAGAATCCTTTGCCAGCTAAGCTGCTAAGAAAGTTGCTTCACTGTGTCGTGCGAGAAAATTTTTCTCTCTAGAATCTATCTTACATATCTATGTCTACCAATGCATCCATGATTA